TCCCTTTCCCTGGCCTTTTCATTTTCCAACCCTCCAGTTGTCGTCAATCCTTTTTTTTTTATAAAGATTTTTATTTATTTATTTGACAGAGAGAGATCACAAGTAGGCAGAGAGGCAGGCAGAGAGAGAGGAAGGGAAGCAGGCTCCCCGCTGAGCAGAGAGCCCGATGCGGGGCTCGATCCCAGGACCCCAGGATCATGACCTGAGCCAAAGGCAGAGGCTTAACCCACTGAGCCACCCAGGCGCCCCTGTCGTCAATCCTTTTTTACGCATTCAGACATTTATAGATCTGTCCGTAACTTTGCGACCTTTGCTTCTTCTGCTTTCTTCTCTCCTCCTTGTGAGAAGCTTTAAGCTGTTTTCTCCGTTTCCCAGTTGGAATTCACCCCATCCACATGTAAACTCCTTTCAGGGATCACCGTTCCCTAGCCCTATCCATTTGTTTTTCACCAAATTGAAGCTATGGTGTTTGTCTTCTAGTTGTTGTCAGTCAAATACAAAAAACAGTTTGTGTTCAAGCCTATATTCAGCAGCCTTGCAAAGTTCACTTAAATCTAACAATTCAGGGGCGCCTGGGTGGCTCAGTGGGTTAAAGCCTCTGCCTTCAGCTCAGGTCGTGATCCCAGGGTCCTGGGATCGAGCCCCGCATCGGGCTCTCTGCTCAGCGGGGAGCCTGCTTCCTCTCCCTCTGCCTGCCTCTCTGCCTACTTGTGATCTCTGTCAAATAAATAAATAAATAAATCTTTTTAAAAATCTAACAATTCATTTATGGATACTTTTGGATTTTTCTGTGTACATATGTCATCTGTAAAAACTGGGGGCTTTGGGAGCCTGAGTGACTTCCCCATCTCTCTCTCTCTCTGCCTGCCTCTCTGCCTACTTGTGATCTCTCTCTGTCAAATAACTAAATAAAATCTTAAAAAAAAAAACTGGGGGCTTTATTCCTTTCCAGTAACTCTTTTCTCTGTCTCACTGTATGCCACTAAGTCCTCCTGTAGTGTTGAATAGAAGTGGGCACAGCAGCCATCCTAGTTCTCATTCTTAGTCTCAGGAGGAAAGTTTTTACTGTCACCACTAAGTTTTTCTTTTTTCTTTTTCAAGGATTTTATTTATTTATTTATTTATTTATTTATTTGACAGAGTGAGCACAAGCAGGGGGAATGGCAGGCAAAGGGAGAGGGAGAGGAAGGTTCCCTGCTGTGCAAGGAGCCCCATGCAGGGCTCCATCCCAGGACCCAGGAATCATGATCTGAGCCGAAGGCAGACATTTAACCTACTGAGCCACCCAGGCGCCCCAAGTTTTTCTTTTTTAATACACCCTTTATCAGACTAAGGAAGTTCTCTCCTGTCCTAGTTTGCCAAGAATTTATATCATGAATGGATGTTGAATCGTAGGAGATCCCCTTCTCCGCGTCCGTAGAGATTAGGATGTGAGTTTCTCCATTAATTACATTGGCTAAATTGTCAATTTTACTGGCATAAAGTTTTTTTTTTTTCATAATTCCCCAATTTGTTTAATGTTTATGAAATCTGTAAAGTCCACTGTATCACTCCTAATTTGACAATTTGTGTTTTCCCTCCTCCTTGACCTGGGTTTCTCTGGGTTTCTCCTATGCATTAACCTCTTCAAAGAACTCCCTTTGATTTTTCTTATTGCTTGTCCTCTAGAGGACAGGAAAGCAAATGTGAGGGAGGAAACTCCTAAGAGGAAAGCACAGAAAAGAGCTTGGGATCTACCAGAACTCATTAGGCATTAGGTATCAACAGTGAGTGGGCAGGCTGCTTCGGAGGCACAGGCAGAATTTGTACGATGTGTTAAATATAGTTAGCGAGTAAGTCAGTAAGTGATAGGATATGCTGAAGAGAAATAAAATAAATGGAATATGTGGTGGAACAAACACGAGTGTTACTTAAAGACAGAAAGGAATGCAAAACCTAGGACATAGGTGTCCTACCACCCAAACCAACAGCTGCATTTTACCTAAACTCACCACCAGTTGCTGACACTCGGGATTGTTCCATTGATCACAGATAAAACCCAGGACTGTGCCGGAAGCTAACTGGGGAGCTACAGCTGGGGCCAGCAGGAGATGTCCTTGGCCTTGGGCAACCTCAGTCTGATTGGCCCCCTTGTCTAAACTTCGACTCTGGTCATCAGTGAGGCTGATGCAAGAGACAGGGAGAGACCGAGCGAGAACGGAGGTAAGGGTGTATGAACAATACGTAACACAGGAATCAGGAAACGTGGTTCTTCGCCCAGTTTGCTCCCTGTTCTAAATGTTAACTTACCCGTCCCTTTCTGTTTGCTTCTTGGTGGGTTTTAAAATATATGGATCTTGTGTTTTTTAAGTGACAATAAGCCGCATCACTGGAGCATTTTTATTTTGGTCTGTGAGCCTTCCTACTCTGAGACCTCTGGGACGGCTTGGCTGGTAGTGTATTAGAGGCCATCATTCTGTCGAGGGAATTTCTCATAGTAACCATTCCCAGAGGAGGAGGTGAGAAGGGATCATAGTTCAGTTTGGAGATCTTTCCTAAAGAAATAAGACAATAGAAAGTAACTGGTTAAAATACTGGGGTCCCAGTGCTGACCTAGGTGGTCACAGGGCCAATCAAGGGTCACAGGGCTGAGCTTAGGGATCTGAGGGTAGTCTCGAGGGTCCTGGGAAACAGGTTGAAGAGCCATCATTACTTATACCATTTTAGAGGTTTTAGCTAAAACAAGATGACAGGACTAGGGCTGGCCTATGGCCACAGCAGAGCTGACTTGGGGGCGGCATCAGGGTTATCCTTGCCGGGGTGGGGGGCTCTCCGTCTCCCAGGGTATACAAATCGGAAGAAGAACGTGGTACATGGGAGGCACATTTGTTGAACACTGTGTCCTGAGCATGGGCTCTTCCCATCCCGTGTACCTGAAGTCACCTGCGGTCCTCGGGGCAGCTCCTCTTCATACAAAAACCCATGCAGACCACCTCCTGCCGCCTCCACTCAGTCCTCACCAAACACTCATCACCAATACCGTGAGACCCTGCATCCCTGAAACCCCAAGACCCTACAGCCCAACTCACAGAGCACCCTTCACTCCCCAGATCCAGCGGTCTGTCCCACAACAACCTGTACTCTTCCTCTTCACACTTGCCAGTGCTCTGCCACACTTTGCCACCTGTCTGACCCTTCTCTACTCCGCCCCACTCACCGCTAGCATTCCCGCCATGCTTCATGTCCCAACTTAACCGCTCTGCCCACACTGCCAACATCCGCGCCCAGCCCATTCACTCTGACTACTCACTCTCACTTTCCGAGCCATTACTCACATTCCCTTCTACTCTACTCTTTCTTCTCCAGCACCTTCCCCGCTGGCTATTTACCACATTTTTTGCCTACTCTTCCCAGCTCGCCCTCTTTCTGCCCTCTCATTCCCCCATGCCCCCCCCCCCCACTTGGCCCTTCATTACCTTCATCTATTTTCCCGATTCCGGTCCATCCGTCCATATCCTGCTGTTCACCTCCCCTTTTCTCCCCCATGGTCCATGCCTCACTGACTTCCACTCACACACAGGGCCCATCAGACAGCCATCTGTGTCCCAGGAAGCTGGTGTCCACGATCAACCTGAAACAGCAAGACCTGACCCCTGTCCACACCGCCCTTCAGACCTTTGACAGGCCTGAAACCCCAGGAATATTCCCTAGCAGCGGGAAGAGGAAATGCTTCCTTTCTGGTGCCTCTGGGCATCCTCTCAGCAGACGGCCCCAGAAGTAAGGCTGTCAGCCCCATGTTTCTTCCCCAAGCTTCCTCCTCCCTGGGAGGACACTAAACGGGACACGTCTGACTTATGTAGCTCCAAAAAAGCAAACCCACGCCTCGTTTTCTTACAGGATACTTTAGGGAAAAAACAAGGCCCGGCAGGAGACAGGCAGGGTCTCAGAGGTCTGGCTCACTCACCTGTCTGGTTAAATCAAAACCCTTCCCCTGCCCTGGATTTACACAGCTTGGGTTCCCCTGTCCCACCAGAGATCGAGCCCCAGTGAAAAACCACAGCATCCTGAGGCCACAAACACAGTCACAGAGTGGGACCTCTCCCTCTGGCGCAGACATGCTGCAACCTGGTCTTCGGCTATGTCCGTTCAGACCACAGCTCTCGATAGGTCACCAGCAGTCGTGTGACCCAGGACGCGAGCTGCCCAACTTGCCTGGGTACTCACGCTTTTCTTTCTCTCACGATAAAAATACACACGCACAAACACAAAATGAAGCAATGTACATCATTTTGTTAAAATATGTAAGGACAGTGATGGGCTTTAATACAGGGTATTTTCAGAGGTCATGGAGCACACTAAATTAGAAAATGTTTTCCAGTCTCCATGATTTCAGGTTTATGTGATGTTGTCCCAGCTGACCTAAGAACCACCGCACTTGGCACACTCAGGAAAGTGAGGCCCGTGTGCCTTTCGAACCGGCTGGCTACCTGTTGTTCTGACAGATTATTCTGTTTACTATTCACTCAAAACATTAAACTCCATATTGAACATCCATGTCTCAAATGTTAGGAAATCCTGTATCTAGAATCTAACTTCATTATCACAGCAATGGAACAAAATATTCGTTTTAAAAGGTTTTATTTATTGAAAAGGTAGTACAGCCACAGAGCACAATTTTCAAAAGTTATGAAAGGACATAGAGGTGTCTCCCTCCCAATTCCATTCCCCCAGCCACCCACTTCCCCTGCCCTTTCCCAGAGGTAATCAGGGTTCGCAGCTTCTCATGTATCTTCCCAGAGAGAGTTGATGCATATATGCTCAATTACGTACTTACAATTTGTTTTTATGCGCGAATGGTAGCATATTATATTCATGATCCTGCATCTTGCTTTTTGTACCTAATCATGTCGGAGATCGTCCCACATCACTACACAGATGATGTCCAAGTTCTCTTTATATATATGTATATATATAAATTTTTATATATTTCTACATATATATACACACACACACACGCACACACACAATTTTTTTTTTCATTTTGTCTACCTAGGAGGTTTGCTGTATGAACATACCATGATTTCGGGATCTAGACCCCTGTCATCTAGACAGCTTCCAACCTTTTGTTTTCACAGTGCGCCTGTGAAGATCTCTTTGTGGTCATCATTTCGTACGTACATGAGTATATACATTCCTAGAAGTGGAACTGTAGGCCCAAAAGCCATTGCCTTTGTGGTTTTCATTACTTTGGAATCATTATTTGAGTAAGAGTTTTGCCTGGTTTGCTGTTCCCCAGAGGTTCATGTAGGGTAAGAAACAGGGGCCACATTCTAGGCAGGTAAGAGTTTTTCTTAAAATTGTTCCCCCCCTCCCATTTGGTATTTCTTTTCGGTTTGACTTCTCCAGAGTCCGTAAACCGGGGCGGCTGTAGGGCTCTTCACAAGGAACACCCCCTTCTCCTGCCCCAGCCCCTGTCAAGGGCTCCTCTCATGACTGCAGACTACTTTCTACAAATATGGCTTGTCTGAGTGATTTCTTGTCAAGGCCTCTGCCAGCCTCTCCTCAGACCCCAAATGGGTCTAGGAGACATCCTAACTCCCACCTATCAATGCCCTCTGTTACCGTGGTGGATGTAGTTGGCCTTGCACTTGGGGGATATCCTGAACCTCAACTGGTGAGTCCTCACCAGTGCAGCCCCACGTGTGCAGCCTTGAGTGTTTGCTTTGAGATCTCCTGCACTGGCGCGTGGTCCCCTCTGCCTCCAGCTGCACTCTTGGCAGGGTTTCCGCTATCTCCTCCTTGTGGCAGATACAGAGATTACACTTCCTCTTTTGCTCCTTGTAGTGTCTGGGTGAAGACTGAGATGAAAAGAGCCTTTTACTCCCCATATTTAAACCAGAAATCAGAACGTACCTTTAAAACGTTAATGAGACAAAACTTTCCCTCGGTGAACCTTAACAGGCACCTTGGATCTACTCGTTAATGTGTGATGAGCTTTGACTTCCGGCTATGGCCCTTCGCGTGGGCTTTCTTTCCTGTGTGTGTTCTCTGATGTACAATCAGGTTTGATTTTTGGGTAAAAGCCTTCCCACATTCTGCACACTTATAGGGTTTCTCTCCCGTATGAGTTCTCTGGTGTACAGTGAATGTGGATTTTTCTCTGAAGGCTTTGCCACACTCAGAACACGCGTAGGGTTTCTCTCCTGTGTGTGTTCGCTGATGTATTATGAGCTGGGACTTTTGGCTGAAAGCTTTCCAACATACGGGACATTCATAGGGTTTCTCTCCTGTGTGAATTCTCTGATGTATAATGAGCTTGGACTTTTCTCTGAAGGCTTTGCCACATTCATTACACTTATAGGGTTTTTCTTCTGTATGGGTTCTTTGATGTATAATGAGGTATGATTTCTGGGAAAATGCCTTTTCACATTCACTGCATTCATAGGGCTTCTCTCCTGTGTGACCCCTCTGGTGGAGCATGAGATAGGATTTCTGAGAGAATGCTTTCTCACATTCATTACATTCAAAAGGCTTCTCTCCTGAATGAGTTCGCTGATGTACACCAAGGTTGGATTTTTGGGTGAAGGTTTTCCCGCACACATCACATTCATAGGGTTTCTCTCCTGTATGAGTTCGCTGATGCACAATGAGGGTTGACTTCTCATTGAAAGACTTCCCACATTCAGCACATTTATGAGGTTTCTCCCCTGTATGAGTTCTTTGATGTATAACAAGAGTTGATTTATCACTGAAAGTTTTCTTACACTCATTACATTCATGGGGTTTCTTTCCTGTATGAGTACTGTGATGTATAATTAGATCAAGCTTCTGTATGAAAGATTCCCCACATTTAGTGCATTCATAAGTTTTCTCGCCCGTGTGCGTTTTCTGATGGACAATAAGGTTTGACTTCTGAGTGAAGGCTTTTCCACATTCATTACACTCATAAGGTTTCTCTCCTGTGTGAGTCCTGTAATGTATGATGACGGTTGACTTTTCTCTGAAGGCTTTTCCACATTCTGGGCACTCAAAAGGTCGCTCTCCTGTATGACTTCTCAAGTGTATAATGAGCTGAGATTTTTGGCTAAAGGCTTTTCCACATTCAGTACATCCGAAGGGTTTCTCTCCGGTATGAGTTCTCCAATGTACAATGAGGTGTGACTTCTTGCTGAAGGTTTTCCTACACGCGGTGCATTCGAAGGGTTTCTCTCCATTTTTAATTCTCTCTTGTAGACTGAGCCCTTTCTTCCGCCTGTGGGCCTTCCCACACTCTTTATATCCATGGGGCTTTACTCCAGGAGTTGTTTTCTCATACTCCGTATGGAAAAATAACTTTGCACATCCACTATCATATTTCTTTCCTACAGAGCTTCTGGTAAATAAGTCTAAACTATCTACCATATTATTTCCAAATGGCTCATATTTATGGGACCTTTGGATTGAAGCAACAAGGTTTGTATTCAGATGAAATGCGTTTCCAAATTCATTATAGTCATGGCCAGTCTTGGTGATAATTGTTTTCTTGTCAGGGAATCCAACTTGCATCAACAGATACCTATCTTGGTCATCCTGGTGCTGTCTCTCAATCTGTTCACCAATTTGACAGACTGCTTCTAGAAGGAAGTACAATAAACCATTTTTGTAACTTAATATTATATAATGAACCTTCTTTAAAAGTGCCCTACCATATGAAAGCTGATACTATTATCTCATTTTATCTGAGTTCTAGAGAAGATCCTGACCATCAAATCCCGTTCTTTTACTAAACTCCCACCTGCTAGGCTTTTTGTTACCAAGAACAATCTTGCCCTGACATCTCAGTCTGTCTTATTTCTACTTTTACATCATCTCTGATTCCTGTCAACTCTGGGGACCTTATCAACCTTTATCTTTATTTATCATATGAATTCTTAAGTGTCCAGGACTTATACAATTTCTACGTAGAAATGCAACAGTGTGGTTAGTGGACTCAAATCTTAGGCAATCCTGAATCCACATTCTTAGTCAATCAGAGAAAGATGCAGAATAATTAACCTTACAAAAACGAAGAAAAACTCAAAGATCTTTCCCCAATCTGGACTCATCCGAGCTTACGTTCACAGTTCAACCCCACCTTCTCCTGTCCACACTATTTTCACTAAAAATGATGACTCTATCAATACCAAACCCTTCCTCATTTTCTATCATCCACATAGCCTAGTCTCCCATATTTTGCTATATTCAAAATCTAGATAACTTTCAGGTTGCCTGGGTGGCTCAGTGGGTTAAAGCCTCTGCCTTCGGCTCAGGTCATGATCTCAGGATCCTGGGATCGAGCCCCGCATCGGGCTCTCTGCTCCACAGGGAGCCTGCTTCCTCCTCTCTCTCTCTGCCTATTTGTGATCTCTGTCAAATAAATAAAATCTTAAAAAAAACAAAATCTAGATAACTTTCAAGAAGCAATTCTGTCTTTTCAAAGAAGCTTATTCTGATCTTCCTGTATAACTAATTTTTGTTTTTTTCTAAAGTAGCTATCTGTCCCACTCATTTAGAAAGTTAAAGTTCCAAAGCTTAGGCTTAAATATACCATATTTCATCACCTACAAGATGCACATTATTTCACATTTTAACACATTTCTAAACCCAGGTGTACCTTATTATCAATGGCATGTCACCAATTAAGTGGTGGAAACTTTTCTTAGTGCCTATGTATTAAAATCAATTGGATCTTGAAGTCAATAAAATATGGTAAATACTTTCTGCATCTACCAAAGCTTAATCATTTCTGTAGTTGACTTTTCACCTTTTCCTAAAATTTTGTATGAAAAATGGACAGAAAAGATGAAAGAGTATAAAAAACTATTCAGACTACCACTCAGACTTAACAGTGATAACATTTACAATAGTAATACTGAATTTGAAAATGGACCATGTTCCTATGACATCCTTAATATCATTAGCAAAAAACTCATTCTTAGGCATGAATATCAGACTCATAGAAGTTGTTTTTGCAAAATACATCTGATGGGGCCACCCAAGCTCCACCAAGTGTCACAACCAATGCTGCTACTACAACAGCAGCTATGCTGACTCAGAGCCACAGCACTACTCTGAAAAGAAATAACTCAACACATTTCACATGCTCTTGACCACTAAGTGAAAAAAGGTGAAGAAAACTGTATAGTAGGCTACCATATTTCTAAGGAAAGAAATCTATAAATACATACTTAAATAGGCTCACCAGGTAAACAAGGGAAGAATACACCTTTACATTTTAATAAATGGTTACCTACAGAAGGAAGGGAGAGAAAGAAATGCAAGGAAAGAAGCTGAACTTCCTTAAATATACCTTCTTTTCTAGATTTGACTTTGGAACCAAGTCAGTATTTTATACATTCCTAAAGCAAAACTGGATTTAAAAGGATCCCGTAATAATAATATAACCTCATCTGTATTTCCAAACCACCATCGCTGGAAAGTCTTGGTTCTCAACGGCACCAACGTGATTACCTCAGTTGATTCACACCATTATCAACAGCAGTCTCAGAAGAATACTAACTACATTACCATCAGATGTAAGATTAACAGAAACGTTTAACCCCAGAATTTGATTTGGAAATACCAATCTTTTTAAATGAAGGAGAAGTATCAATTTGAATACATGATGTATTTTCTCTTACAAAAACTTTTTTTACCGGGCACCTGGATGGCTCGGTCAGTTGGGCGTCTGCCTGGGGGTAAAGCCCTGCATTGGGCTTCCCTGCTCAGCGGGGAGTCTACTTGCCCCCCGCCAGCTCCTGCTCTCTCTCTCACCCATGCTCTCTCTCAAATAAAATCTTTTTTTTTTTTTTTTTAAGATTTTATTTATTTGACAGAGAGAGATCACAAGCAGGCAGAGAGGCAGGCAGAGAGAGAGGAGGAAGCAGGCTCCCTGCTGAGCAGAGAGCCCGATGCGGGGCTCGATCCCAGGATCCTGAGATCATGACCTGAGCCGAAGGCAGCGGCTTAACCCACTGAGCCACCCAGGCGTCCCTCTCAAATAAAATCTTTTAAAAAATCATTTTTACATGGTTCCTAGCTCTGTCAATTTTTATTTTTACTTTTTTTTAGAGACTTTATTTAACTGAGATAGATTGAGAGTGAGAGAGCACAGGCAAAAAAGGAGAAGCAGGCTCCCCACTGAGCAGGGAGCCCAATGTGGGGCTCCATCCCAGGACTCCAGGACCATGACCTGAGCCGAAGGCAGACAGTTAATGACTGAGCCACCCGGGCATCCCCGTCAATTTTTAAAAGGCCTAGAAGCAATTCACTAGCATCCAAATTGTGGTCTCAAAACACTATTTACGGGGCGCCTGGGTGGCTCAGTGGGTTAAGCCTCTGCCTTCGGCTTGGGTCATGATCTCAGGGTCCTGGGATCGAGTCCCACATCGGGCTCTCTGCTTGGCAGGGAGCCTGCTTCCTCCTCTCTCTCTGCCTGCCTCTCTGCCTTGTGATCTCTCCCTGTCAAATCAATATATAAAATCTTTAAAAAAAAAACACACTATTTACCACCAAAAAAACCCAACCAACCAACCAAAAAAAACCAAAACAAATAAACAAACAAACAAAAAACAGGGTACCTTGGAGAAATGGCTCATTCCAGGCCAGAGATGAGAACTATATAAAATGAGCCTGGAACATCCTGTGACACCACAAAGTTTCTGCCGGCCAAAGATAAGGCAGTCTGATTCATAATGAGGATAAGGCAATGGATTAAAACACGAAATATTGATTATTTTTTTTAAAAAAGACCTATTGGGGCGCCTGGGTGGCTCAGTGGGTTAAGCCTCTGCCTTCGGCTCAGGTCATGATCTCAGGGTCCTGGGATTGAGCCCCGCATCAGGCTCCCTGCTCAGTGGGGAGTCTGCTTCCCCCTCTCTCTCTGCCTACTTGTGATCTCTCTCTCTCTCTCTCTCTCTCTCTGTCTGTCAAATAAATAAATAAATAAATCTTTGTTAAAATCTAAAAAAAAGACCTATTAGTCACTTTTTGAAGATGCTATAAAACCAACTCATTATTTTTTAAAACTGGTAAACAAATGGGAAAACGTATATAACTGAAATGGAACTCCAGGAACACACAATATAAGTAACAGATGAAAGGCAATCAGTCTTCTTTATAGAACTATTCCAGCTAATCAACAAAGAAGGCATGACAGAATATCACCATTTTGCAACATTAATGAACAGATAAAAGCAATGACCACCGAGAACTCATAACTACAACAGACAACCATGCATTACATGCCTCCTGATGAGAGGATGTCATGCCAGCCAGGAAGTGAACTTGCTTAAAGAAAAAAAAAAAAACCCTGAATTTGGTCAAACTTCAAAATCTAACCATCAATTTATAAGAAAAAAAATAAGGGACAGAGGAATATGTTAAGTAGGGTACTTAGCAAAGTCCAGACCGTGGGAAACTAAAAGACAAATTAAACAGTTACTTAAAAGGGGGGAGAAGATAGCTGGGAATCGTTTGTACATTATGAGAAACGAGAACGCAAGGAGTTGTGAGAACCCTCCGCCCCCGGATCCTCATTTCTCAATACCATCCCCCACTAAAAGGGATCAGAAATCCTTGGAGAAGCTGCTGATTCTAGGTCTGAAACAGGGCAAGTACAGTGTGAACCTGGAACATATTTCTGTGCTAGAAAGTGCTCAGAGAAGGATGGGGTCATGTTAAGAGACGGAGGAGCCAGCCCGAAGGGACTCCTACTGGCCAAACTGAGGACAATTTGAACATCAAAATGAGTAATGACAGAAGACATTAGTGCATTATAACATCCTGAAAAATAAAACTCTGAGTCCATACCGATACTAAAATGCATTCATTAAAGGGACAGGGTAAGAGAAGAGTGCCAACTTATAAATGGAGAAGGAATGATAGAAAATTCCCCCTTCTTCCAAATATCTTATAAAATGATTCGGGCAAGAATCCTCTGTGGGTGATAAAACCACTCAGTAAAAATTTTTGAAAACAGGATATTAATCATTTGGCAGCTCCACAAAATGTTAAACATGTGGTTTAACAATCCCACTCCTATGTCCATACTCAAAAGGAATGAAAACATTCATCTCCATAAAAAATTCTACATGAATGTTCATAGCAGCTTTCTAATGGCCAAAAAGTGGGAACAGCCTAAATATCCATCCGTAGATAAATGAACATAAGTGGTGGAAGCCAGACAACAGAGGATCATCCCACCATAAAACGGAATGAAGTCCTAATACATGCTACCCCGTGGAGGAACCTGGAAACCATGCCGAGTGAAAGAGACCAGACACGAAAGGCCACATTTTGTATGGTTCCATTTACATGAAATCTCCAGACAGGAAAAAGCATAGAGGCAGAAAGTGGTTGCCAGGGGATGGGGGAAGGAGGAAATAGAGACTGACTGATGAGGGGTATGGGCTTCTTTCTGGGGTGATGATAATGTTCTAGAATTAGATAATGGTGATGGTTTCCTACCTCGGCGAATATACTAAAAACCTCTGGTTTCCTACCTCGGCGAATATACTAAAAACCTCTGGTTTCCTACCTCGGCGAATATACTAAAAACCGCTCCCTGCTGAGCAGAGAGCCCGATGCGGGGCTCGATCCCAGGATCCTGAGATCATGACCTGAGCCGAAGGCAGCGGCTTAACCCACTGAGCCACCCAGGCGTCCCTCTCAAATAAAATCTTTTAAAAAATCATTTTTACATGGTTCCTAGCTCTGTCAATTTTTATTTTTACTTTTTTTTAGAGACTTTATTTAACTGAGATAGATTGAGAGTGAGAGAGCACAGGCAAAAAAGGAGAAGCAGGCTCCCCACTGAGCAGGGAGCCCAATGTGGGGCTCCATCCCAGGACTCCAGGACCATGACCTGAGCCGAAGGCAGACAGTTAATGACTGAGCCACCCGGGCATCCCCGTCAATTTTTAAAAGGCCTAGAAGCAATTCACTAGCATCCAAATTGTGGTCTCAAAACACTATTTACGGGGCGCCTGGGTGGCTCAGTGGGTTAAGCCTCTGCCTTCGGCTTGGGTCATGATCTCAGGGTCCTGGGATCGAGTCCCACATCGGGCTCTCTGCTTGGCAGGGAGCCTGCTTCCTCCTCTCTCTCTGCCTGCCTCTCTGCCTTGTGATCTCTCCCTGTCAAATCAATATATAAAATCTTTAAAAAAAAAACACACTATTTACCACCAAAAAAACCCAACCAACCAACCAAAAAAAACCAAAACAAATAAACAAACAAACAAAAAACAGGGTACCTTGGAGAAATGGCTCATTCCAGGCCAGAGATGAGAACTATATAAAATGAGCCTGGAACATCCTGTGACACCACAAAGTTTCTGCCGGCCAAAGATAAGGCAGTCTGATTCATAATGAGGATAAGGCAATGGATTAAAACACGAAATATTGATTATTTTTTTTAAAAAAGACCTATTGGGGCGCCTGGGTGGCTCAGTGGGTTAAGCCTCTGCCTTCGGCTCAGGTCATGATCTCAGGGTCCTGGGATTGAGCCCCGCATCAGGCTCCCTGCTCAGTGGGGAGTCTGCTTCCCCCTCTCTCTCTGCCTACTTGTGATCTCTCTCTCTCTCTCTCTCTCTCTCTGTCTGTCAAATAAATAAATAAATAAATCTTTGTTAAAATCTAAAAAAAAGACCTATTAGTCACTTTTTGAAGATGCTATAAAACCAACTCATTATTTTTTAAAACTGGTAAACAAATGGGAAAACGTATATAACTGAAATGGAACTCCAGGAACACACAATATAAGTAACAGATGAAAGGCAATCAGTCTTCTTTATAGAACTATTCCAGCTAATCAACAAAGAAGGCATGACAGAATATCACCATTTTGCAACATTAATGAACAGATAAAAGCAATGACCACCGAGAACTCATAACTACAACAGACAACCATGCATTACATGCCTCCTGATGAGAGGATGTCATGCCAGCCAGGAAGTGAACTTGCTTAAAGAAAAAAAAAAAAACCCTGAATTTGGTCAAACTTCAAAATCTAACCATCAATTTATAAGAAAAAAATAAGGGACAGAGGAATATGTTAAGTAGGGTACTTAGCAAAGTCCAGACCGTGGGAAACTAAAAGACAAATTAAACAGTTACTTAAAAGGGGGGAGAAGATAGCTGGGAATCGTTTGTACATTATGAGAAACGAGAACGCAAGGAGTTGTGAGAACCCTCCGCCCCCGGATCCTCATTTCTCAATACCATCCCCCACTAAAAGGGATCAGAAATCCTTGGAGAAGCTGCTGATTCTAGGTCTGAAACAGGGCAAGTACAGTGTGAACCTGGAACATATTTCTGTGCTAGAAAGTGCTCAGAGAAGGATGGGGTCATGTTAAGAGACGGAGGAGCCAGCCCGAAGGGACTCCTACTGGCCAAACTGAGGACAATTTGAACATCAAAATGAGTAATGACAGAAGACATTAGTGCATTATAACATCCTGAAAAATAAAACTCTGAGTCCATACCGATACTAAAATGCATTCATTAAAGGGACAGGGTAAGAGAAGAGTGCCAACTTATAAATGGAGAAGGAATGATAGAAAATTCCCCCTTCTTCCAAATATCTTATAAAATGATTCGGGCAAGAATCCTCTGTGGGTGATAAAACCACTCAGTAAAAATTTTTGAAAACAGGATATTAATCATTTGGCAGCTCCACAAAATGTTAAACATGTGGTTTAACAATCCCACTCCTATGTCCATACTCAAAAGGAATGAAAACATTCATCTCCATAAAAAATTCTACATGAATGTTCATAGCAGCTTTCTAATGGCCAAAAAGTGGGAACAGCCTAAATATCCATCCGTAGATAAATGAACATAAGTGGTGGAAGCCAGACAACAGAGGATCATCCCACCATAAAACGGAATGAAGTCCTAATACATGCTACCCCGTGGAGGAACCTGGAAACCATGCCGAGTGAAAGAGACCAGACACGAAAGGCCACATTTTGTATGGTTCCATTTACATGAAATCTCCAGACAGGAAAAAGCATAGAGGCAGAAAGTGGTTGCCAGGGGATGGGGGAAGGAGGAAATAGAGACTGACTGATGAGGGGTATGGGCTTCTTTCTGGGGTGATGATAATGTTCTAGAATTAGATAATGGTGATGGTTTCCTACCTCGGCGAATATACTAAAAACCTCTGGTTTCCTACCTCGGCGAATATACTAAAAACCTCTGGTTTCCTACCTCGGCGAATATACTAAAAACCGGCTGCATCTGTATCCATCAGAGAGTGCAGTTTGTGGTCTGGGAATTCTCTCTCAATAAAGCTATTTTTAAACAAAGATAATCAAGATGTTTTAGGAGAGCAACCTGATAGGACTATCTAGACTGGATGGAAACAGGTAGCCCAGGCCGGAGTCAGGACAGTAGTGCCGAGGCCTGGGACTCAGGGGGGCCTGGCTTCAGATAAGGCAGTGAGAAGTGAGACTGGGAGAGGGCGTGGGGCAGGACCGGCACTTACAAGACACTTAGCCACTGGGAGAAAAAGCTGTGCAGAAACTTTAGGGTGAGCACCAACTTAAGGGGAGTGGTCTAGTGGGTGTGGGACAGGGGCGAGTGGTGTCAGTCCTATGTCTGAGGCATTCATGTCCCTGTCCAACAAGAATAAAGGGTCACAGCGCTTCTCCAGACATTCCTGAAAGGTCTTTCAGATGTCCTTGCCCCTGGCTGACAAGCTGGCACCCCCTGTCCCCGTCATCTTGAGTCGATCCCACTCACCTGGAAAGCTCCAGAAGGAGATTTTTGTTTCTCCCAGGCATGGCTCTTTGACCTCCAACTTGAGGATGAGGTCTGGTTTGGTCCCCTGCGGTCCTGCTAATGAGAAATGACAGTGATACCTCCTGGGTCTTCAGAGAGCCTCTGAGAAAGAGGGCGGTGGGGTCTGGGGCAGCGTGGGAGACCCGCTCACTTGACACAATGGTCCAGTGGTCAAGTTGCACCATTCCACCTGGGTTTTGAGTTCACAAACACCCTGTGAGGAAACTTCGATCCCCGAAACTCAACGTCCGAGGTTTCAAGCAGTTCAGAGACCTTACAAGTTTTCCAGAGCGAGCAAGGAAAGGCCCTCTATCCGACACAATAGTCACGAGCAGCAAAATAACCTGAGGAGGCCATTCTTACCCACAGAGACCAGGTTGCTGTACGTCTCCAGCATCACTTCTCGGTACAGAGTCTTCTGTGGAGGGTTCAAGTACTGCCACTCCTCCGGGGTGAAATCCACAGCCACATCCTCAAATGTCACGAGTCCCTGTAATTGCACATTCCTTGTACTCCAAAATACTGACCACTGGGTGAGGAGGATGAAATGCAGGGAACTGCTGACTGGGTTCCCAGTTCGTGATGATGACTTAATACCGGACGCCTGCTTTGTTGGGAAATCACAAGCCCCAGCAGAAAGTCTGATCCATCGAGTATATGGACTGTTCCGTAAGTATACAGAATGTATGTTCAACGATGTGGTATTTGCACAAGGAAGGACAGTCCAGTAGGACTAAAAAGAGAATCCAAATGCCCTCTGGACACCTGAGTTATGACAAAGTTGACATGGCAAGGCATTGGAAGGGGGGGGATGACCTTTTCAAATAAATGTGGACGGATTACTGGGTATCTATGGGGGGAAATCACCTTTAGCCACTAACTTGCCATACACAAGAATCCGCTACAGAGGAACTGTCAATCTAATGTGAGCGATAACACAAGGAGGTGCCTAGAAAACAGGACAGGAAAATGTCTTCATGGTCTTGGTGGAGGGAAAGAATTCTGAAACAAGATGTGGAAAGTGCTACTCATGAAGGAAAAGATTGGTAAATGTTACAAGATTAAAAGTACAACAGTCAGGGAAATACAAATCAAAACCACAATGAGATAGACACCACCTCACTCCTGTCAGAATGGCTAAAATTAAGAACACACAAAACAACAGGTGTTGGCGAGGATGTGGAGAAAGGGTAGTAGGGATGCAAGCTGGGGCAACCACTCCGGAAAACAGTATGGAGGTTCCTCAAAAACGTTAAAATAGAGCTACCCTATAATCCAGCAACTCTGCTACTAGCTATTTACCCAAAGGATTCAAAGATACTGACTTGAGGGGCACCTGGGGGGCTCAGTCGGTTAAGTGTTTGCCTTTGGCTCAGGTTGTGATCCCAGGGTCCTGGGATCGAGCCCCGCATCGGGCTCCCTGCTCGGTGGGAAGTCTGCTTCTCCCTCCCCCACTGCCCCTGCTTGTGTTCCCTTTCTTGCTGTTTCTCTCTCTGTCAAATAAATAAAATCTTAAAAAAAAAAAGATACTGACTTGAAGGGATACATGCACCCTGATGTTTAAAGCACCATTATCAACAATAGCCAAATTATAAAAAAAGAGCCCAGTGTCCATCGACTGATGAATGGATAAAGAAGATGTGTTATATATATACAATGGACTAGTACTCAGCCATAAAAAAGAACAAAATCTTGCCATTTGCAATGCGGATGGAGATAGAGAGTATTACGCTAAGTGGAATAGGTTCGTCAAAGAAAAATAAATACCATATGACTTCACTCATATGCAGAATTTAAGAAACAGAATGAATGAGGAAAGGGGAAAACAAAAGAGAAAAAGAGTCAAGCCAAGAAACACTCTTGACTGTAAAGAACAAACTGATGGTCACCACAGGGGACAGGGTGGGGGATGGGTGAAACAGGGGAAGGGGATTAAGGCGGGCGCTTGTCATGATGAGCACTGGGTGTTGTATGGACGTGCTGAGTCACTATACTGTACGCCTGAAACTAATAATACACTGTATCTTAACTAACTGCAATTTAAATAAAAGCAAAAAAGAAATGGGGAGATTATCTGCAACATTCAACACTGATAAAGGGATCTTCTCTGGTGCATATAAAACCCCTGCACATCGAGAAGAAAGACAACACCAAAAAGCCGAGAAGAGATGTGAATGTGTACTTCACTAAAAACAAGATCCAAATGGCCTGTGAACATAAGAAAATGTACTCCACCTGATTAGCACTCAGGTAAAGGAAAATTTAAGCCATGCTGAGACACTCCTGTGCCCCCACTAGAAAGGTTATAATGAAGCAGCCAAAAATAGCATAAGACCGTGGTGAAATGAGAACTCCCACAGTTAGCAGGAATAAATACTGGCAGAGCTGCTTGGGGAAGTTGTTTAACAGTGTTTACTAAAGTTAGTGATTTGCATGAGGTACAACGCAGCAATTCTAGGTACACAGCTTCAAGAAAATCATGCACACGTGCTCTAGAAAACGAGTGCAGGGATGTTCACAGAAGCCCTACTTCTAAAACTAAATCAGGGGAAAAAAATCAGATGTCCCTCAACAACACAAAGGGAAACTGTGGCAGTCATTCAACGGGATCTTGTGTGGTGACGAAAATAAATGAACTACAAACTGCGTAACACAGATGAATCTCACAGATGTACTGAAGAGCAGAAGAATCTAGACACAAGAGTATATGCTACACGATTCTATTTATATAGAGAGTAAGAGCACAGGCAAGGCTAATCCATGATGTTGAAAGTCAGGCAAGGGCGCCTGGGTGGCTCAGTCGTTAAGCATCTGCCTTTGGCTCAGGTCATGATCCCAGTGTCCTGGGATTGAGTCCTACATCGGGCTCCCTGCTCCGCGGGAAGCCTGTTTCTCCCTCTCTCACTTTCCCTACTTATGTTCCCTCTCTTAGTGTCTCCCTCTGTCAAATAAATAAATAAAGAAATCTTAAAAAAAATAAAAGTCGGGCAAGTAATTACCTTTGTGGGTGGTACTGGTTTGGGTGGTACTGGTTGGGAAAGGGCATGAGTGGGAATTCGGAGGTCCTCGTCCTCTTCTAATCTTGACCTGGGGGGGTGACTAGAAAGTGTGTTCACTCTGTGATAACGTACCAAGCTGTACACTTATAAATTGCATTTCATGTATAGTTAAATGTACTTTATATATTTATACTTAAAAATTATTTTTTTAAAGGTTTTATTTATTTATTTGACAGACAGAGATCACAAGTAGGCAGAGCAGCAGGCAGAGAGAGAGGAAGGGAAGCAGGCTCCCCGCTGAGCAGAGAGCCCGATGTGGTGCTCGATCCCAGGACCCTGGGATCATGACCTTAGCTGAAGGCAGAGGCTTTAACCCACTGAGCCACCCCGGCGCCCCCAAAATTATTTTCAGCAGAAGTGCAAAGGCAATTAAACGGAAAATGGGAGTTCCCATTTCAACAAATGGTGCTGAAACAATTGGATATACATATGCAAAAACAAAATATTCCAATAAATATTTCCAACATATATAAAACTCAAAACACAGAACAGATCGCAGACCTAAATGTGAAATCTAAACCTATAAAATTTCTAGAAGATACAGGAGAGGCACCTGGGTGGCTCAGTCAGTTAAGCGTCCAATTCTTGATCTCAGCTCAGGTCTTGATCTCAGGGTCATGCGTCCAAGCCCTGTGTTGGGGCTTTTAAAAAAAAAAATACACTCACACAGGAGAAAATCTTTTTAACCTTAGGTTAGTCAAATATTTCTTAGATGGGAGAGTGAAATTCAAGAGACACTGTTAAAAGAAGAAAAAGCCACAGAATGAAAGAAAATATTTACAAATCACATTCTGGCAAAAAAAAAAAAAAAAAAAAAAAAAAAAAGAAAAAAAAAAAAAAAAAAAACAAAAAAAACTGTATTGAGAATATATAAAGAGCTCTCATAACTAAAAAAAAAAAGGCAGAAGAAAGATATTAAACCAAAGAAAACATACAGATCACAAATAAGCACACAGAAAGATATTCAACACATCATTAGTCCTGAAGAAAGTGCAAATTAAAACCACAATGGGAGTTCCAGACAGCCCTGTGGGAAGACCATGAAATCACCTCCTTCCACGGACACAACAAACTTACAGCTCTATATAGAGTAATTTTCCTCTAAAAAGGACCTGAGAACTAGATGAACAGCAGCACCTCCACAACAAAAGACAAAGAGACACAAGGAGAAGGCCAGGAGAGGCAGTGACAGAACCTCACGTGGGACCCTACACCAGGAGTGGCGACCCCACAATCGGAAGAGATCACAAAAATATGGTACTCTACTCAAAGAGTAAAGGGACTGTGGCCCACATCAGCACCCCTGACCCTGGGGCCCACACCAGAAAGCCCCCAAAATGTTTGGTTTTGAAAGTCAATGGGGATTAAGGCCAGGAGAATCAGAGAATGTCGGGAACAGAGAGATCCCTTGAAGAGATTCTTCAAGGGCTCTCATGCAAAACCCACCCACCCTGATATCCAGCACAGAAGCAACAGACTGAAAAGCGCCTAGACCATAAAGAAGAGAGACACACTGACTAATTTTCAAGCAGCTGCCACAGAGACAGAACTTACAAGGATTTTGTCTGGGAAAGGACGTGCTGACCAACAACATTTTTGCAACCTCATCCTAATTTGCTGGTGATGAAGCTGACAGGCACCATTTTGGGCGCCTACCAGCACCAGAGGGCATGTTCTGCCCATCCCACATTGTAACGGGGCTGGGTTAGCCCCCCACACACCCTGCAAGACATCTGAGCCACCACAGAGCTGGGTGAGCAACCCAAGCACCATGTGACCCTCACAGAGACCAAGCCATGGGGAGGACAGGTGAGCATCCCAAGCCCCATTGTCCCTGCTCAGTGGCCAAGATGCCAGTAGGCCCGGTCAGTGCCCTGAGCCTCACCTTCCCACACAGTGGCTAAGCTGCACATGGACAGGGTGAATGCCCTAAGCCCTGCCCTCCCCATGCAGAGACCAGGCCACAAGGAAAGGGAAAGCAGCTTGCATCCCACTCTCCCCATGCAGCAGCCCAACCACAACAGAGCTGGGCAAGGGCCCTGAGCCCTGCCCTCCCCACACAGCAGCCGTGGCCCCATCACCACTGGCATGCACATGGAGCCCACACAAGGGACACCCACAGAGTGCCAGGCTCTGGTGGCCAAGGGAGACTTTTGGGCCACACGGAACATTTCCTACACAAGACTGCTCCTTCAAGACCGAGGGAGGTCGCTGTTTTACCTAATACATATAGACAAACACAGAGAGACAAGCAAAATGAGGAGACAGAGGAATATTCTCCAAACCAAAGGCAGCAGCAAACCCTCAGAAAAAGACCTTAATGAAATAGAGATAGGGATGGGGCACCTGGGTGGCTCAGTGGGTTAAGCCTCTGCCTTCAGCTCGGGTCATGATCTCTGGATCCTGGGATCGAGCCCCGAGTCGGGCTCTTTGCTCGGCAGAGAGCCTGCTTCCCTCTCTCTCTCTGCCTGCCTCTCTGCCTACTTGTGATCTCTCTCTCTGTCAAATAAATAAATAAAATCTTTTAAAAAAAAAAGAAAGAAAGAGAGATAGGGAGACTCCCTGATACAGAATCCAAAGTAATGGTCATAAAGATGCTCACTGATCTCAGGAGAAGAAAGGACAAACACAATAAGAACTTCAACAAAGAGGGACGCCTGGGTGGCTCAGTCAGTTAAGCATCTGCCTTCAGCTCAGGTCATGATCTCAGGGTCCCTGGATGGAGCATCAGGCTCCCTGCTAAGTGGGGAGTCTGCTTCTCTCTCTCCCTCTGCCTTCTCCCTCTGCTCGTGTTCTCTGTCACAAATAAATAAAATCTTTTTTTTTAAAAAAAGAACTTCAACAAAAAGAAAAAAAATATGTGGGTACCTAGGTGGAACAGTAGGTTAAGCATCTGTGTTCAGCTCAGGTCATGATCTCAGGGTCCTGGGACTGAGCCCTGTGTCGGGGTCCCTGCTGGGCAGGGAGTCTGCTTCTCTCTCTCCCTTGGCCTCTTCCCCCAACTCATGCACACACACTCTCTCTCTCTAATAAATGTCTTTTGGGGAAAAAAAAGAAAAATATGTAAGTACCAAACAGAAGTTATAACTAAACTGTAAAACGCACCAGAAGGGTTCAAAAGCAAAAGAGATTATATAGAAGCACAAATCAGAGAAGCAATGGAAAACATACAGAAAGAGCATCAAAGAGAAAAAAAATAACTAAAAGAGTAAGGATACCTTAAGAGACCACTGGCACAACATTAAACAGAATAATAGCATTATAGGAGTTCCAGAAGATAGGAGAGAAAGGATCAGAAAATTATTTGATGAAATAGCTGAAAACCTCCCTAACCTGGGGAAGGATACAGACATCTGTTTCAGAAATTCAAAATCAGAGTTCAAAATCGGATGAACCCAAAGGGAAAACACTCCAAGACACATTATAATTACAATGGTTAAAGTTGGGGCGCCTAGCTGGCTCAGTGGGTTAAGCCTCTGCCTTCGGCTCAGGTCATGATCTCCAGGTCCTGGGATCGAGCCCCGCATCGGGCTCTCTGCTCGGTAGGGAGCCTGCTTCCTCCTCTCTCTCTCTGCCTGCCTCTCTGCCTACTTGTGATCTCTGTCTGTCAAATAAATAAACTCTTTTTAAAAAATGGTTAAAGATAAAAATACAGAGAAAATGTTAAAAGCAGAAAGAGAAAAGCCAAGTATTACAAAGGAAACCCCAAAAGTCTGTCAGATTTTTCAGCAGAAACATTTAGACCAGAAGGGAGTGGGATGACATATTCAAAGTGTGGAAAGGGAAAAACTGCGAGCCAGGAATTCTCTACCCAGCAAGGTTATCATTCAGAATTGAAGGACAAATTAAGAGTTTTTCAGATAAGCAAAATCTTAAAAACAGAGCTCATCACCACTAAACTGGCCTTACAAGAAATGTTACAGGGACTTCTCTAAGCTATGAAGAAAAGGCAGTAATTAATATTTAAAGGGGGGGGGGGCGCCTGGGTGGCTCAGTTGGTTAGGCATCCAACTCTTGATTTCAGCTCAGGTCGTGATCTTGGGGTCCTGGGATAAAGCCCCATGTCTGGCTCTACTCTGAGGAGGGAGTCTGTGTGATGGCTCTCTCTTGCTGCCCCTCCTCTCTCTTTCTCTCCCCCCACCAATACATAAATCTTTAAAAATAATAATAATAAAATAAACATACGAAAGTAAAACTCTCACTTGAAAAGGTAAGTAAAAATCAAAGACAGTGGGTCAACCACTTATAAAGCAAGTATGAAGGGTAAAAGACAGAAATAGTAAAATTAACTGACAGTAAAATAATTAGGGGCACCTGGCTGGCTCAGTCAGTAGAGTATTTGATTCTTCATCTTGGGGTTGTGAATTCAAGCCCCACGGTGTGTGTAGAGATTACTTAAAAATAAAATTAAAAAAATAATTAAGGGATACATGAAATAAAAAGATACAAAATGTATCATCAAAAATCTAAAATTTGCGGGGCGCCTAGGTGGCTCAGTGGGTTAAGCCTCTGCCTTCAGCTCAGGTCACGATCCCAGGGTCCTGGGATCGAGCCCCGCATCGGGCTCTCTGCTCCGCAGGGAGCCTGCCTCCACCTCTCTCTCTGCCTGCCTCTCTGCCTACTTGTGATCTCTGTCTGTCAAATAAATAAATAAAATCTTTTAAAAAAATCTAAAATTTGGGGGAAAGAGTAAAAATATAAAGCTTTGCTTTTGAATGTGTTCAAAATTAAACTACTGTCTACTTAAAAATGACTGTTACATACATGTTATATGTGAACCTAACAGTACCCATGAAGAAAAAAATTTCAGTAAATACATAGAAAGGAATCTAAACATAACATTGAAGAAAATAAACCACAAATGAAGAAAAAGAAGAAGAAACAAAGAGGAACTATAAAACAGCCAGAAAACAATTAACAAAATGGCAGTAAGTACATACCTATCAATAATTAAATGTAAACGGGCTAAATGTTCCAATCAAAAGACATAGGGTAGGTGAATGGGGAAAAAAACCCTTTTATATACTG